ATTTTGGCGCCCTTCTTTTCATGAAGTTGACGGCGCGGTGCTAATCTCCATTTCTACGCCATCAGGTAGAAATGCCTTATTTTTTAAACGCACTATCCACATCCATGTGTAATGTCCTGTTTCCACAAAATAGTACTCATTTAACAACCTCGCAGAAGGACGAGTGACCCCAACAGGAACTAGAACACAGGACCCACTGGTTCCGAGTTCAACGCTTCACCGACTAAGCATCTATTATCAGAAACAACGTGCTGTAAATTCCTTTCTCAAGGGAATCAAACCCCGCACCTCCGTGTTCGAACATCGCCCCGGACATCGCAAAGATTAATTGCCTGTAGTTCTGACAGGACTGATTGCCCAAACACGTGGAGTTAAAGCTGTTCAAAAGTAACCTATTGATCGTTCCCTTCTTAAATTGTTAAAATACCCTAACAATTATGAATTCCTCATTTAAAGCTTATACTGTAGATACCCAATAAAAAGTTTATTAGAAACTTCAAGCTTTACCTACAGCGTAAATGGTACCATGAAATAAGCGTGGTGCACTGCCTGATGATAGATCAAAACAACACCAGTTCAAAATACTACAATCCACACTGAACGTAAATCTATTATTCAATAGTTATCATAAATGATCAGATGACGCCTCGGGACTTATAACTGATCGGTTTTAACCATTAGCACCATGACAGTCAATGTGCATCATATGGTCCTTTCGCTGTGATGTGTGACATCGCATTTCAACCGCCATTCAATCTATGCAGCGCTTATGCAGATGAGATTTTTGGAGGGCATAAGTTAGCAACGGCGATGCGAAATATCATGGAACCCCAGATGCTGATATCATTAATTAAATTTGATTCAGATATTCCTCTAGTCTATCTGAGTGGTTAGACTCTGTTCAGACGGTAGGTGGCAGGATATATAAATATTACTACGCGTGGGTGAGGAATCAATAAAGACTCCAGTCCAAAATCTTTCTGTACAGTAAATAATTAAGGTAAACTAAAATGAAACTATGCCATTACCTACCTCATACTCTCCTTCCTTTCCCCACACTCTACTTCTGCACCGTCTCCCATGAAAAACAATACTTAATGTTATGCCATAATGCGATTAGATCGGATCGCATGAATTTTTAATATTCAAAATAACTTTGAATATTCATACTCCTTCAGTAAAATAAATTGAAGAATGAATTCCTCCAGCCAAAGATACAACCGACTGTGCTGAAATTCTTGGCCAGCATATAGAGCGAACGGATGACCTGGGGGAGTAGCTGTACTGAGTTTCTAGAGCGAATAATCAAGTCTTCACCTTTTGTTGGTACAAACTCTGATAAAAATCTTTAAAACTTTATATGCTGGCTTTTCTCTTTGAAACTCCATCCGCTTAAGAATGGTTATTCTTATAGCAGTGACACAAGCTTTAATGACAGGAGAGGTTTCAGCTGATTAGTTGCACGGCAGAGAGAAATCCTCCCGTCTGATGGTCAAAAACGGCTGCAAGCATTTCATGCAGAATGGCAGCAGGCTTTCGATTCACTCCTGAACATATTCCACACTGCACCTTCATTAAAATGAGCGGCTACAATCAGCGTCTGTAGCAAGTGACGGTTGGTGTTCAGGCAGATCAGTACAGTCGGTAGGCGTATCACAGATACCCCTTCTCAGCTTCATAGATCATATCCGACATCCTTTTTCTGGTATCATCCTTTGTTATCCATTTAACCATTTCTTGCCTGACCTGCTTCATTTTTCAAAACCATCGATCCGCACTTAACCACCAATTTCTTCCTTTATTCCGTTTCTTTTATCACATAATGTCTCTGTTTAATCTCCTTCTTAAGTCTATATCCTCCGTCTTTCAAAATATTCATATACAGTACATCCCATTCATATCACATAAAACAAAATCTTCATCTGATAAGAATAAATTCATTTGCAGGTCTCTTTGCATGATCATCTACGGCTACTTTTTGTGTCGGTTCTCGAACAGCAAGGAAATAAAGATCGTTATTCGAAATGGTAACATAGAAAAGAATGTGACAGTAAAACATTAAAGAAAATAATTCAACAACTAAAAACAAACAACAGCATATAAACGGCCTGTTTACACAACGTAAACAGTTTCGTCAATCGTACGATTATCCGTAACCGACGTTTTGTCCGTATCTCACGGGCGTTCTTTAACGGAGAGATGCTGGTGAGCTTCGACAATCCTTCTTAGTCGTCTACTGCAGTTCATACATTTAGATCAGACCGTCTTTGCATAAATGACTCTCTTTGTGTGTCATTATCAGAATCTTGCCATTAACTTCATGAACAGAAGGGCGCCAGAATGGCCCCATTATAATCTGCAAGAAAACTGGTATTCCAACAATTATAAACTTCCCTTTCTTTAATTTTTTTCTTGATAGTATACTGGTCGTCGATCGTCTTTAAATTCACAACAAGCCTTTAAGGTCATCATTGCTTCTAACATGAATCTCATTGTTATTTTTCGCCTCGAATTATAATCTTTCTTTAGCAACTACTGATGTTTCCAAGTTTGCACACGGTTCAGGGTTTTACTTTTTTGGGAGGACGTGTTATATTCGATTCAGGGATAAATATACACAGAAAGCGTATCCCAATTTTTCTCTATGTTATTAGTCAGAATTACTTTTCCATTCAGTTAATAGTCAGAAAGCTTTCTAGCTGCGATAATAGCTACCACTTCACGACTTCCAAATAAACCAATGTCTCAAACTTCGAAGAACGTTCGGGAGACACGGGCGAAAGTTTAGTACTCATTAACCAACCGATTTATCCAATTGTTTGCGCAGTTTATAATTAAACCGCATTTCATGCCGCTTTCAGTATGGCAAATTACGTACTAAGCAAGTAAAACAAATGAATCAATTAATAAAAATATTAATCACAGCAACGCAAAATTTAAAGACAAAAAAGCATACTTTACTAACCTCTGTAATGCATCGTCAAACCAGTCTGATAATGTCTGGAAAGTGAATAACGGAACCCGCAAACGTAAAATATGAAAAGCGACGTTTTCCAGCGTGTATGACGTGAGAATGAGCTAAATGTATTACTTATAAAAATCAAATCATTATAGAAACCAGAAAATTATTAAAACTAACATATCATGAAGCAGAGTTTAGTGCAGTCATCAACATAAAGCCATCCGCAAATCCACTAACAACAACGTTATACAGTAAATGTTACTACTATATATCTCAAAGAAACCATACTATTACTCACATAAATAATTTGCGAAAATCTGGCAGAAATATTTGACCTGAAAATTGAAGAAATAATGCAATGATGAATACTGACAATTTGCTTATGAACGGATGCAGCTACAAACATGCAGATAGCATTTTTCTATCAAATCAGAACAAATTCCAAAGTCCATTTTCTATCGATATTTACCAAGTTAGATACGTCAGTATTTCAAAAAGAATGTGGAGACTATGGGTAGAAACTCAAATGAAAAATCTCCTCAGTTCAATTCAACAAGATAACAATTCCACAAAATTCAAAAAGATAATGGAAATTCATTCACAAAATCCTCGATCATACCGGCACGAAGGCTATTAAACAACACCAAATCAGACAAAACACATAGAAACCTAAGAAACCTTATTTTAAAAACTTTTATTTATGCCCGAGAAAAGAAACTCTGCCGTCGCAGACCTCAAACCCAGATGAGAAAGGAGGAGGATTGGAGACGATGGCGAAGTCTCGGCAAAACTCGGCCACTTGCTCCTTATGGTATTTCCGCCATCAAAAACTACACCGGTTGGACTGTCGCCCAGGTTACATATTCAAGCAAGATGTCGGGAAACAGATATGTCCACGATCAGAACCCGTCAGTTGCCTTTTGGCAGCCAGGGGCGTGGCAGCACAACAACGGCGCAGCCAAAGATCGACGAACAGATGACGAAAACACCAATCAACAACGGTGCCGCTGCCCGTCCTGAACGGAAGAGGCCAACAACGCGATGTCATTACAGCACGTCACAAAAGAGTCCTCGAGAACGACACCGTCAGTGGGAGCTTACAGTCGAAAATTGAAACATATCTTCACTCAGAGGGAAAGGGCAAGATTTGGCTGATGAGGAGGTAAGGCACCAACTCTATACAGTTGAACTTTCGCCAACGAAGCGCCAAGGCTTTAGAATCCTGAACCTCTACGGGTGAAAGTTATTCAACTCAGAT